GACAAGTGAAGAGTAAAAAACTTTACAAGAAACCAAGTTTATTTTACATTTAATTTTTCCACATATTCCTACATCACCAGGTAAAGATGCCAATACCCACTTCTTTATCATCATTCCTTTCAAAAATCAGGATCTATGATGACATTGTCAGCTACTGATAATAGTCACAGTTATCTTGTCCTGTCTCAAGTTCATTTAGAAAATTTAGCTCTTCAGGTTCTAATCATAGATTATCCAATAAATTATGAGGAATGATTTTTATTAAAAGAGGAAATATGAAAATAAGTAAAAATAATTACATACAAAAACTAGTATATATCCCAAAATTATTAGTATATATCCCAAAATTATTAGTATATTTTCCAAAATTTCAGATCTAGAAAGAGACCTGGTAATTCTTAAACTTCCATAAGAAAAATTAAGCAAGTGGCTCATTAACTAAATTTGAACAATAAGAAATGCAGAATGATTACATACTTATTTTTGTTGCTATTTATTTTTGTTATATCATATAGATGTTAATAAATTGATTATAAAATGGAGGTTGATGAAGCAAATATAAAAAGACTTTTGAGAAATTACAATATAATTAGAGTTTGAGAGAGAAGTTGAAAATCAAAGAGTATATCAAAGTGAATACAATACATATTTATATTAGAATAGAGAAAGATTGAGTACTATTAAAGTAAGAGTTATCATGTACAAAATGGATTTACATTTTATTTATTTATTTTTAAAGATATATTTATTTATTTAAGCATGAGAGAGAGAGGGAGAATGCAAGCAGGGTGAGGGGCAGAAGTAGAGGGAGACAAGCAGACTCCCCACTGAGCTGGGAGCCTGATGCAGGGTTCGATCCCAGGATCCTGAGATCATGACCTGAGCTGAAATCAAGAGTTAGACGCTTAACCAATTGAGCCACCCAGGCTCTCCTGGATTTATGTGTTTTTGTTTGTTTGTTTACATTTGAGAGAGAGAGAGAAGGAGAGAGGGGAGGAGCAGAGGGACAGGGAGAAGCCGACTTCCCGCTGAGCAGGCAGCCTGTCATGGAGTTCCATCCCAAGACAGAGATCACGACCCAAGCCAAAGGTGGATGCTTAACAGACTGAACAACCCAGGAGCCCCTGGATTTATGTTTTATAACAACTCATATGTTGGTTTTGAGGATGAAATGAGTTAATGTATTTTAAAACACTTGGAGCACTGCCTGCCACATAAATTGTTCAATGAATATAAGCCACTTGAGGCCCTAAAAAAAGAATGTTCTTTTTAAAAGTTTGTTTTACTAAAATGGTTTAGTAATACTGTCTTTCTACCCATTATCATAACTTATTTGAAACAGTCTTTTATTTTTTTTTTTTGGAACAGTCTTATATGCATCTCTAGCATCTAGATTTTAGTCTCCCATAAAATTATGCATTGTGGTCAATGAAAAGTAGCTGAACTTTTGATTGACTTGGGATGTGGGTAGGGGATCAAAATATTATTAGTGGAAAGTTAGAATATTTTAAAATATATTTCTGGTTGAGGCGCTTGGTTGGCTCAGTCAGTTGCGCATCCATCTCTTGATTTTGGCTTAGGTCATGATCTCAAGGTCCTAGAATCAAGCCCTGCCATCAGGCTCCATGCTCAGTGGGAAGTCTGCCTGAGGATTATCTCTCTCTCTCTCCCCCTCTGCCCCTCACCCTGCTCACGCTCTCTCTCTAATATAAATAAATAAATATTTAAAAATATATTTATAAAGTTCTGGTTAATAAGAGGACAAAGAAGCTAGCATTAAGTGAGTCCCAATAGCCAAATTGTGACAGTTTGCATGTATATAACTAAGTTGAATCTGCAAAATCTCATATGATTCTAATACTCAGAATCAGAAAGTTTAATATGATGCATATGTGTATAATATACATATGTAATTTCCAAGCAAAAAGTAAAGTGACTCTAATAGGATATGTTTATAAATTTTATTTTCTTTATTGGTAATAGGATTGTTACTATATGGATATCTTGAGTCTTCAATTAAATATGCATATATTTATAAAATATAGATTAGTACTTTTTTCTGTGAATATAATTAGGGGAAACTCACCTGGCATTTATTTAACACTGTCCAATAAGTCTTAGAATCACATCATTTTAAGCAAATATGTATATTCCAAAAGGTAAAGCCCATGTGAAAGCTATAGATTTAAAGTGTTATTGATATAACAAAAATAATGTTCAAATTATAAAAGAGGTCACATCTATTAAATAGGTCTCACATTTGAAAGGAGCAACCAAAATTGGATTGACTTATAACTCCGAAATGAACTCCAGTTTAGGTAATATGATGCTCCTTAGAAAGGATCACTTTAGAAGATCACAATAGCACTACACAGTGTAGAAGACATATCTGATGAATTTATGGATTATATATGATGAAACTGATGTATAAAAGGTAAAAATATTTATATAATAAAAATATTATAAACTGAGTAAAGCATAAAAGTATACCTCAAGAATAGGTACACGACAGTTTATTTATAAGTATTAATAAAATTTTATAATCGATTTTATAATTTATAACTTTTGCCTAATTTTATGACATTTAAAATGTTTAACAGACTTTTGTATTAGATTTGAATATTTAATTTGATTACATAGGTTTTGCTAATTATTTAAATTCGCAAAATGTATTAGTTTTTACTTTTTCCCATGGCTGAAAAAATTAATTTTAAAATACTAGTTGTATATTTAAATTTTTACATAAATAGTGGCTGATAGGTATAAAAGATTAATGATTTCAGCTCTAAAACGTATAAAGAGTGCTGAACATTCCTCTACCTGCAAAAACCCTTTAAACATTCTATAAACAATAAGTAGTGAGTACATTATCTATCTAGCTATGAAGCTAGACATAGAAAATCATGATGTAAAGTTGCCACCAAGTTTTTAATCTTACTTTACCTTTGTATCCTTTCACTTCCTTTTAGAAGCTCCTTTTTTTCTTTCCAAGTTCTTAGCTCAATTTTCTTCCAATCACAAAAGTACCTTGACTCCTAGAATCCCATAACACCCATGCTCATAACCAAGTACACTAGAAAGCAAGTTGGTGGAGTCTTCATTCTCCTCTCTACCACCTATATTTATTTGCATCCCCCCCCCACCAAAGATCTTCTGGAAAAAAGACAGAACTAAACCTAAAGGACTTAATTTTCTAATTTTATCAAATGGACATAATGGCATCTAGGTGACGAGTAATTTTGAGGCAGAGGTGGCCTTCCCTATGTAAGTAACTGCTTCAACCTGGCACATTATGGGCTCTTATGTATGTATCTGGCCTTCAGAACACAGTTGAATCAGGTGGGGTGGGGATGAGGAAAGGCAGGGTCATAAGATGCCACCAATGAATGCATATATATATTAACCCTTATGTTAAGTTAAACATAAAGCAAATATTGCTCTAGTCTAATTTCAGGACAGCTTGATATGGAATAAGTAAGATAGATAGGGCTTTCCTTGCCTAGTCATTGAACTGTAAATGCTGGGATGCCAATGTGCTCACTGAAGGTGGGGGTGAGTATCTGATCATTGTGAATGGTCTTTGCAGAAATTCTAGGATGGCACAGTCACACAGTCACATTGGATCTTCCAATAAGTAGATTTCTGCTCTGAAGCATAGAGAAAACTTTGCATATTTTGTCTCCACTGGTGATTTGGAGGAGAACGATTGACATATAAGCTATTATGAATTGGTGTACTTGTGTCACATAGTATAGACCAAAGAGAAAGGTATAAGCCACTTAGTATTCATACATCATATTCTCTGGATTTGCTGTCTCTGTCTTGAAAAGACTACTCTATAGAGGAACCATTAGGAGGGCTGTTTGTTTATTAGGTTACTCTTTTAATGTGCATGATGAAAAGTATTAGGTTCTGTGTTACACCACATAATATTTTCTAAAATAAAAGGAGTATATTCAGGTTACTATCTTGGTATGTTTGGTGTATGTAAAGTCCTGCCTGAACTCCTTAGCCAAATTTATTTCAAAAGATAATATTTAGATTTTTCTGGGACCTAGCTCTGAATCCATTATCATTCCTTTATTCTTTTCTTTTTCCTTCACACTCCTATAATAGGATGTCTGGATTCTGGGTTAATTAGAAATAATACGTGATGAAGATTATATAGAGAAAAATCAATTATTTCATTCTTCAGGATGTAATTTTAAATTAAAAATCATTTTGTGATAAATTATATACCCAATATAAGTAACATTTAAATTATTAACACAAAGATTCCTACCCTCCTATTTTTTAGGTATTGTAATCCTCAAGAATTTATATTCAAGTAGGATTCTTTACTGAGAAATGATACTGTTTTGTTGTTGTTGTTGTTGTTGTTGTTGTTTTTATTCAGTTAGCCTATCCTCAATTTGGTATAAGTCTTCATCATAAGTTAAATAATTTCACAAGTTTTAAGGACTCAATACACAGATAATTAGATAAATGATCTATTTTAGAAAATATAGATTCTAGTATATATGTTTGATTATATGTATGTATCTTTTTTCTAATTAAAAAATTGGGGCATCTGAGTGAGAAATTATAGTTGGAATCTGAAACATTAGCATTTCAGAGGCATTTCTTTAGTTTCCTGACTAAGCAGAATTTTTAGAATATATGATCTTATGCCCAAAAGAATCTATAGCAAATTTTGACTAATAAACAGTAGAAAAGTAAAAGCAGATAAGTAGATGTTTTAAAAGGCAGAGGAAAAGAATTCATGAATTGTATTTTTAAGCTCCCAGATTAGTGTTTTGGGTTTATTTGAAGAGGGCAAACATTTCAGGGAGTTTCAAAATATCTTAGAAAGGAATGCATTGTTTATATAGTTCTAACCTTTACCAAGCTTTTACCATTATATTAAAATTTGGGGTCTTAATTAAGCTTTTGCCAAACTGTAAAATTATATGTATACATACTCTATACAGATACATGAAGAAAACATATACTTTACTCACAGGCAAATTGAAGTATGGCTTCTCTACTAAGAATACTTCCAAAAGTATTGGCTGCTAAACACTGATAATGACCAGAATCCTTTGCTTCACTTGGATTGCTTATAATGAAGGTCCCGTCTATCAGACTGTAGCGATAATCACTTTCCAAATCTATTTCTGTTCCATTTCGAAGCCATCTTTGGAAAAATCAGAAGACAATATGTAAAAATTACTTGAGATATTATAATTATCCCTGGGAATGTCAGAATCTCATTGAAGGGAATTTTTAGACTTGAGAAAAATGATTAGCAGTGAACTTTTACCTGTAATTGGAAACTGGGTTGCCACGAGCTTCACAATTCAATGCTACTTTCTTTTCATCAGAATCAGTCGGGAAAATTATATCATCTGGCTCTTGTACAAACACTGGCCCATAGTCCACACTTTCTGTAAGGACCAAAAAGGACACACTTTAAAATTTCTAAAAATATCGAGACTTTTTCTCCATTATTTTCATATTTAAAATTTTTCCTTTTTCCTTGTACTCAACAGCATATTACCAAAAGAAAGCAACAACAAGCAAATTACTTTATTTTAGTAAATTAGAGACCTACCTAGAATTTTTTAATTGACTAAGATTTCTTTTAAAAATATGAAAAAAACCCAAATATCTCAAACGTTAGTGTTGTACATTTTTAAATACATATCTTTGTATTCATCTAAAACAGAGCTAAAGAAAATAATGCTAAACAAAAACATTTTAAAAAACCTAAAAGTTTGGGGCGCCTGGGTGGCTCAGTCAGTTAAGTGTCTGCCTTTGGCTCAGGTCCTGATCCTGAGGTGCTGGAATTGGCCTGGCATTGGGCTCTCTGCTTGGTGGGAAGCCTGCTTCTTCCTCACCCTCTGCCTGCCACTCCCCCTGCTTGTGCTTTCTCTCCCTCTGTCAAATAAATAAACAAAATCTTAAAAAAAACCTAAAAGTTAGTAAAACTCTTAGAATGTTAAAAATAATATACAATAAATAAACAGTCATGAATTACTATTGTGTTACTACTTGGGAACTACAGATATGAAAACATTAGTCCTCATGTATTCTCTGTCCATTCATTTCTTCACTCATTTAATCAAGCACTATTTATTCTTAAAAATGATAGAGTGTAAAGGATAAATTATGTAATGTAAATAAATATATTCTCATAAGATAAAAGAGACATGTCCTTTAAAAAGTCAAATAACTGAACAAAAATATCAAAACTGCATACAATTAAGTGTTCATCAGCAGGTAAACAATGTAAATAAGGAAATCAGAAGAGAAAGAGTCAAGAGGGAAGAACACTTATTAAGTACCTACTATATGCCAGATATTAGGTTTTACCTCATTTAATTAGTTAATATTCAGAGAAATCCTATGATAAAGGTAATTTTAAATTAATGAAAATTTTATAGAAAAGTAGAAATAAAATTGGGCCTCAGATGACAGGCTTGAGCTTGAAGAGTTTTAGGATAATTCTGCTGGAGTTTTAGGATAATTATGCTGGAGAAATTATGAGTAAATGTGCTGGGGAGAGTATTAGTCTTATTAGCTTGTAGTAGTGCAAGAATTCACAGAATTATATGCGTATCTAGCTTCCTTAGCATCTTGAATTGTGAATTTAGAAGCAAGTAAAAATTTTTCCTTTATTTTTATTGATCATGAATTTGATTATATAGTAACCTTAGATAAAGATTCTCAACCTTGGCACAAATGCCTTTTGGGATATTCTTTGTAGTGAGGATTGTCCTGTGAATTGTAAAATGTTTATAATCATCTGTGACCCCTACCAACTCAATGCCAACAGCACACCTTCCTAAAGTGTGTAATGAAAAATGTCTCCAGAGATTCTGGAATGTCCCCTGGGTCAAAACTGTCCTCATTTAAAAACCACTGTCTTAGAAAAATGAAGAGGAATGATTTTAGGAAAGACATATTTCTAATGCCTCTACTAAACAGTTGGAGATTCACATTCTTTGTAGATAACCACAAGAAAATATCAGGAAAGAAATAGAAGAACAAATGTCCCAGGAAACTCAAGCTTTAACAAATTATTACTATAAAAGATATACGCCTCCATATTTAGAATAATGGGTTTAGAGTACATTTATATGTTTTCTTTAAATATATATTCATTCTTTTTTGGGCAAAGAAAAACAAAAGTGTTCATGGCACTCTAAATATTCATCCAATAAAACTATGCATTCACAAAGCAGGCATTGACAAGTATTTTGTTTGAGTCTTAGATAATCTAACTGAAGTTCTTTTATTAAGCTACAAATAATAAAATATCACATGAAAATAACTAAAATGTGTTTCTGTATACCAAATGACATTGTTATCACTTAAACTTTCACTCAAAAATGAAAAACAAGCAATGTAATAAAAATAACTAGAGAAAATTATTATCAAAATATTCTATTTGTTGTTGCATCATAATGCATTTATAAAAATTTGGAAAAGCACAGGAAACCTCCTTATACTCTCAGGTACAGTTAAACTGCATGATGGAGTCATGAAAATATATCTCTTCTAGTCTTTACACATTATAACTATGATCATTTAAATCAATATTATAAATACCTATAATGCATAAAATTAATATTTAATAAATATATTTTCTATTTTTATATATTTCAAAACTCGAGCTTTAGAGTCAGACATACTTGGTTTCAAATTCTAGTACCATCATTTTCTATCCTTTTTATTTTTTTATACTTTTTTTTACTTTTATCCTTTGTACTGCGTTTATTAATTGTGATTGATAATGTCTCCTGACCATATTATTACGAGGATTGATTGACATCAACATGTATAAACATACTTAGTATACTTAGTATATCACAAGTACTCTATAAATTATAATTAATAATCACAACAATAACAACAACTAACATTTACTTGTGGTATAATTACTACATTATAGACACTACACTTAATTATTTATATGCAATGTATCATGTAACACTCACAACACCCATGTGACTAGAATTAATCCCCCCATTGTATAGATGACAAAACTGAGGCTGAAATTAATGAACTAAATGTATATAGCAAATACATGGCAAACCTGGGTTACAAATCCAAGGCTGTTGGAATCTAGAATCTGATTACCACTGCCACTACTATTACTATTACAATTTTGTTATAACATTTATAAAGCACTTTAATATATATTATTTAATTCTCTGAACTGAGCATTATAATTACTTTTAATTCAAAGGTGAAACCTCAGGTTCTGAGAGGAAACTTCTGTAAAATTAGCAATATAGTAAACAGTTGATTTTAACTAATGATCTATGGTTCTAAATCTTTTGTTCTGAAAAATTGTCAGAACAGGACAAGAGAAATAAAGGTTGTCAGACTGGTAAAAGCTAAATTACACACTGAAAAAATAATAAACTGGCCTGAACAACATGTATTCTGTTGTGACCTTTCAATCTCTGTAGGATATCTCTTTATTGTTCAATTGTTACTTCCAAAAGCAGTTTAGCAAGCAATCGTCCTCTCTCTCTCTCTTTCTCTCATTTTTCTCTTAGAAATAAAGTCCACTGTAAGGGGTTGAAGAGCATGTCTATGTAGAGTTTCCCAGTCCTCAGCAAAGGGTAATCAATGATGATTCTAGCTCTAAAGAGATTAATTTTTAAGGTTCCATACCAAGAATGTATTATTATAGGTAAACTCAGACAGATTGAGTCACTCTCCTGCACTCATACACTACATCTATTGGTGAAGACAATGAATTACTTTAAACAATGTCCTTATATTTTGCAATTTTTAACTTGATGGAATCTGTAACTTGTGAAGATGGACTTCATATATGATAATCATCACAAAGATCTTGATAACCAGTAAATCAAAATCTTTATTTAACAAGGTAGAAATCTTTGAGATATTTGTGTAACAGGCAGATGCCATCACACACAATGTAAATTTCTCATAGGAGTAATGTTTTTGAGTGATTTTTTTCTTAAAATCAGCCTTTTTTATGAACAGACTACCACATATCTGTAGTTGGCTAAACCTATAATGCTAGTGGTTGTTGTCTGTGAAATATCAGATTCACACCTCCAGAAAGTCCTTCCTCAGAAGAGAATTGTTTCAATTTAAAAGTGATCTGTTGATTATCTCCTACAAAGAATGATGAAATTAACATACCTTCTCTCACTTCCCTAAGTTTACTCTCTACATTTTCTGTTTTGCTTCATGGTTCAGAATATCTGTTTGTTGTCTTTACAGCTGAAAGTCAACTTGGCTGGGTATCAAATTAGGTGTTCAGTATTAATTCCATTAAAGCCTATAGATATTTTTCTGTTCTCTGATCACATTTAACATTATCCATGGTAATGGGTCCAGCCTGCCTTCCCTCACTCCTCACTCTTAAATGACTGGATTTTTATTGTATTTATTTATTATTTTGTTCTGTTAATCACCATACATTACATCATTAGTTTTTGATGTAGTGTTCCATGATTCATTGTTTGCATTTAACACTCAGTGCTCCATGCAGAACGTGCCCTCCTTAATACCCATCACCAGGTTAACCCATCTCCCCATCCGCCTCCCCTCTAGAACCCTCAGTTTGTTTTTCAGAGTCCATAGTCTCTCATGGTTCGTCTCCCCCTCCGATTTCCCCCCCTTCATTCTTCCCCTCCTGCTATCTTCTAAATAACTGGATTTTATATCTGGATGTCTGTAAGGAGCTTTCCTCGTTCTGAATTTCAAGACCTTTCTGGATAAGTCTTGGTGTTAAACATTTTGTATAACTTGTGATTTCAAGACTTTTTGTTTGTTTGTTTGTTTTTTAGATTTATTTATTTATTTTAGAGAGAGAGCAGGGAGAAGGGCTGAGGGAAAGGGAGAGAGAGAATCTCAAGCAGACTCCCTGCTGTGTGTAAAGCGCTTCACAGGGTTTGTTCTCACAACCCCGAGATCATGACCTGAGCTGAAATCAAGAGTTAGGTGCTTAATGAGCCACCCAGGTAACCCAAGACTTTCTTTTTCAGGAAAATTTCTTCTTTATTTGCTCAGTTCTCCTCATACCAATTAGGCGTATCTTCAGTATTTTTTTTTAAGTCTTCTCTATCATCTCTATAACAGTTTTTATATCTTTATTATTTTCTCATTTGTTTAACTTTTACAAATATGATAGCTATATTCTTATCTTTTCAGTTGCCTCTACATTACCACTCATGAAGTTTTCAATTCCTTAATGGTTTTATTTTCCCCTCCTTTGTTTCCTGAATTCTAAAAGTTACTTCTTAACATATTCTGTCATCATATTTCATTTGATTTCACATATTTGTTGTTTAAACTATTCTTAGCACTGTTATTGTTAGTCATTCCCTTAGGGGGAAGACAGTTGTCCCTAAAGATACTTTCTCAGGTTATGGTGAAACCCACATTTGAGGAACTG